TAAAAGGAAATTCTCAGTAAATTAATCAAGAATTTCTGGTTTCAGGTTAGTTCATTTGTCTTTTGAGATCTTTCAACTGAGGTGGAAAACGCGGAGGTCTAGTTCATATACATTACTGTAAAAATTCCATATGTCTCTTTTTATGTGCAGGGACATTTTAATTTTCACTAACAAGGGATGAAGTATTTATTAGAATTAAATTTATATTACAGAAACTGGGAACAGTGGAATCAGTGATGAAAAATGGAAACAAAAGTTGCAGAAAATGGGGTATTTGTTGATGTTGAACACCCTAGGCCTGGTTTTGATTTGAGTACAAGTCTACTTCTAACCATTGGTGGTAGAAAGTTATTTGAAATTGCCAAGGCTTAAATATGAAGTTTTTATCTGAGTATCTTTTTGTTATTTACCTAATAAGTGTTCCAAATAGCCAGAATAGTAATTGCAGGATTTACTAATATGATAAAATTTTGAGGGGGATTCATTTATTAAAAGTGTGAACAATAGTTAATGTTTAAAGTGCATATACCTGGCCCACTTGCTACTGGAAATAATATGCTCATGATAAATGCTTTCTGTCGGGTTGCTTATAGTGCATGTAAAGGTAGAAACCCTTAGGGCTGAGTCAGGAGTCCGAACTTGTTCCAGGTAAACCTGAGAAGTTGGAAGAAATTATACATGCATTTCTGCTGCAGCCTCGTGTCTGTATCTTCATTCATTCTGCTTCACTCATTACAAGACGATTTTTTTTATGTCCTCCCTCCTCTCACCCCTTATCTTCCCTAAATTTGCCAAGTCATAAAAAAGGGATTTTTTATTGGTTAAGGAATGTGAAATTTTAATTGTGTAATTTTTGTTGTGTAGTAGAACATATTTTTTATGAAAATATTGTTAATAATATTAAGATATATATACACACACACATATGTATATGTATCAGGATATGTATATGTATATATCAGGAAGGATAACCTAAAGCATGTTAATAATCAGTTAATAAAAATTGTATTGATTATCTTTATTTAATAAATAATGTAAGTTAAACAAAATGTTAATAAAAGATACATAAAAATACAGTAGGTGGCAATGTGCTTTGAGGAAGGTTTTAATGGAGGGTATAAAAACATCTAATATATCAGATTCTGTCCCAAACTCTGAAACACTAGACAAAAGCTATGGGCCAGGTAAATTTTGAGAATTATCCCAAGTCTTAAATTCTAGGTTTATTTGATCTTGTATTATGCCTAGAAAAGATAGAAAATGCAAAAAACTATTAATACTAACATTCATGCACCACTAATCCCAGTGTCAAGCCAGCTTCTTGATCTTTAGTGTCATTCTTAGAATGATGACAAGGTTCTTTGTGCTTCTGTTCTGTCTCTCTTGCCTCTGCTTTGTATAATTTCCTTTGAACCATTAATTTCTATTCCTGTTCTATATTAACAATATTGACAAGTGCTGATTTTCAAAAATAGGATAATTACTATATATTTTCCACACCACTGGTTCTCACCCTTTAGCATGCATCTAA